TCAGGTGAGTCATGTCTTGAAAACTGCTATACACAAGAAGCCACATAAGGCTCTATGAAAGCAGAGAGGACTATCAGAAACATTCGTACTCATTAAGCCAAGAGAGAAATTTAATGGAGAGTAGAGACTACAAGAGCAGAGAAATACAGTACTTGTAACCTGAAGCTACTAATGTAATCAACTACACTGTTAGAATTATAAATGTTGAGCTACCCTTGCACTCCTCAAAAGGAGGCTGAAAACTGTGTGCTAGGTAGGATTGAGAGATGACTTAATCAGGATGTTTACAGTGGTGTTCCTAGTCAACACTGGCCTATGAGACCCACTTCACAAATGCCTTTTATATGTTCTGGTGACACTTCTTCTTGTCCAAATTGTCTAATATTCTCAGGACCATGTATCCCTTATAGGTATGGCAGACTCACTTGTCAAAATCATTTGAGCCCAATGCCAGTTTTGTCGGTAGACATTAAAAAGCACTATAATTTTGGTTTGGTTGTTTTGAGACAGGGTCTCATGTACTCCAGGCTGGAATCTATGTGGCCTAGGCTGGCCTGGAAATCTCACCTCTAGCTACCACCTCTTAAATGCTGAGATTACTGACATATGCCACTATGGCCAGCTTAAAAAAAAAACCATTCTTTATTTGATTTCTGAATATATTTTAACTTTTCTTTTACCTTAACTAATGCTAATAATTTTTTTCATTCTTTTAATGTTTTTATGTGAGTCGTTGTTTTGTGTGTGTGTGTGTGTGCGTGTGTGTGTGTGTGTGTCTGTGCACACCATGCATGCAATGCACGCAGAAGCCAGAAGGGGGCACCAGAGCCTCCTGGAAGTGGAGTTACAGATGGTTGTTAGCCATGTATGGGTAATGGGAGTAGAACCTGGTTCCTCTGCAAGCACAACAACCACTCTTAGCCACTGAGCTCCCGAGAATTTGCATTTTTAAGATAAATGATCAATATTGTTCATATCTTTACTGTGATTGAAAAATTCTCTGTGTAAAAAAGTGTATCTTCAAAGTTTTCTCTCACTCATTTTGTTAATGTTACTTTATTTTTTTTTTGATTTTGGGTAAACTGATCCCCTTTCTCAGTTTTTTGTGTCCCTTTTCATGTTTCTGCTCATTTTTCAAATCCTCATTTCCAGCATACACATATCCCCTCCCGTGGGCTGTGGCTGATCTAGGAGATTTTCAGTGTCTTGCTTGATGGATTAAGTTGTGTCAACTTCATTTCTGGAGAATTTCCTCTTGGGGAGAAATTGTGAAGTTTAGAGTTATGTTGGCTTGCAGAGGGCTTGTTTATAAATGATCAAACTGAGATCTAAAAGGAAGCATTAGACCTCTCAGCCCTGATTGTGGATGGATACTTTTAGATTTGTAAGAAACCCTGTGACTAGGAGTTGGGCTAGAGCATTAAATGTAGGTAAATCTTTAGATGGAAAAATCATAGTCTTTTTCAAAATTTTTAAATATATGTTGAGAATGTTCTGATAGAATAGCATTTGTACAGCATTTTCAGTAGCCTTTTGCTTTTTAATACTTGTGTCTTTGTGTGTACATGTGTGTGTCATGTGTATATGTGGTATGTATGGTGTGTGTATGTGGTATGAGTGGTGTGTATGTGTGGTGTATGTGTATGCATGTGTATATTGTATGTGATGCATGTTGTGGTATGTGTCTGTGGTGTGTGTGTGATATGTGTATGCATGTTTGTGTGATGTGTGTATGTGATGTGTGTATGGTGTGTATGTGTGGTGTATGTGTGTGTGCACTACATGTATGTAGAGCCCAAGGGAACCAGTTCTCTCCTCCTATCATGTGACTTCTATGGATCAAAGTGAAGTCATTAGTCTTGGCTACAGAACCCTTTACTCAACCGAGCTATCCCACAGCCTCTCACAGCCTGTTGACATGTTCCTTTTATCATTATATAATGACCGCATGGTCGCTAATCTCCCTCTCTCTCTCCCTTCCTCCCTCCCTCACTTTCTACTTCAGTAGCTTGTCTGATGTCAGCACAACAACAGCTTTAATTATTGATATTGATTGAGCTTTATTTATTTATACATAGGGGTCTGGGCCTTGACAAGTTTATTCAACCTATTTTCATACAGTGGGATTCATGTGTTATCTTGTTTTGATCTTTTGTTCCCTTCTGTTTTATATTTACCTCTTTCTTTTTCAATTTTTTCTCTTTATCCTGCCCTGAACTGGGTTGAAACAAGATTTCCACGCACAGCCTGTTATTTGGAAGGATGTGCTCTATTTCTCTGTTCTTTAAAGGTGCCTCATACTTTATGTAGCAAAGTTAATCAGCATGCCTATTATTTTTAGTGCAAGACAAACTCTTAAACTGTTTCAAGTCTTCCTCCGTCTTGTTTGAGAACACCCAAACACAGTCACTCCTGTGAAAACTGTTATTTTAAGTAGATTTACTTGGTGCAATTGTTTTGCTTGCTATTGCCTCTGACATCTTACTCTTGTGTTCAATGTCCTTCTCGCCCGCACAGCTCTTCTGTGCAGGTCGCTCTTGTCCGGGAAGCCTTTGGTATGCTGTGGGAATAGTAGTTCTCGCATCGTTGGCTGTTACCTTCTTGGTTCTGTAAAGTCATTGCAGCACGGAGTAAGGGTGGCAGCTACTGCCCCAGTCCCTGCAGTTTTAACCCCATTGTTGCTGATGAGAAATCTATTGTTGGTTCAGTTGTCTTCATTTGCTACAAACAAATTTCTTTGTCTCAGGTGGCTTAAAGACATCCTCTTTGACCTCCTGCAGGTTCTCTGTAAATCAAACTGGAATATTTCTGCTCTTTCTCCTGGGACTGGTGGGAGTTTATCAAGATCCATATCTTTCTTCAACCTGGGAGCACCACCGTTACACTTCTTTCCCTATACTGGAAAATAGATTTCACTGGAATTCCCATTAGCTCTATTCTGTTCTGAAAACCTTCTCCTCTGGCTTTTCCTCCACCTGTTTTGGGAAGGGCTAATTTCTTTCTCTCCTTCTGTCCAGGGGTGCTCCTTCACAGTACCTTTGCTCATTGTCTGACTTGTGATTTTTTTTTTTTTGCCTTGGGGAGCATTTTACTAATATTTTTTCTCCTTTTTTCACTTTGCATGGTCATCTCATATATCTGGGCTGTAGAAACTCCCCTATGGGGCATTTCAGCATGGGCTCCAGCGTGGGCTCCAGCAGACTTCCCTGACTTGGGAGTGGCTTTAAGGTCAAGGTTTTGATGGAAACTCCAGCCTTATAGTGATATTTAAAGTCTGGAGATGGGCCAATACATCTCCAAAGCACGTAACACATGCAAAAGGTTGTGTGGATCCCGATCTTTCTTCTCTTTTGTGTGTGTCGTGTGTGTGAAATCTTTCAATTCATGACACATGGCAGACAGTTCTTTCCTGTTTCCTTAGGGCTGGGAGAGTTCTGTTGTCTTCCACACAAGAAGCAGCTTTCTAGGGAAGCCAACTCTTGTGAGATTCTAATCGCAGACTCCAGCTCTCTCTTCTCTGCCTCTAGCACCTGGCATTTATATCCATTCTCATTTATATTCATTCATCCTATCTCTCCTGCTCCCCACTCTGGGTCCTGAGTAGTCTTTCGGGGTCACATGACCGAAACTCAGTAGCCAAAGCTCTAGCTATCCCCACCCCACCTATCATTTTGTTATCAGAGAGTGTCTCACTATAGCCCAGGCTAGTCTGGAACTCACCACATAGCCCAGGCTGGCCTTTGACTTGCTGTCATTTTCTTGTGCCCCAAGTGTGAGTCACTACACCCAGCTAAAAGTCCCTTGGACTGATTTTCCTGAATAAAGCTTGGAATTTTCACAAAACCTTGGAGGTGATTAGCTTTTGTTTTGGATTTCTATGTGTCTTCTCAGGGTTTGGAGAGCTGTGGTAGAACCATGTTCCGAGATCGTGAAGCATCCACTCCTAAGAACCAAGTCCCAAGGATGGTAGGGGCAGAACGCTGGAGGCCTATCACAGAGAACAAGGGGTTCCCAGGGAAAGGGCTACTCTACTGGCTCACTTTAAAAAAAGCAAACGCACATGCACACAGGTACACAGAGTCTGTCAAAGGGACACACAATGAGCTTGGGTCAAAGCTATCTATAAAAGCTCAAACATCAGTCTCCTGAGATGGCTCAGTGGATAAAGGTGCGTTCTGCCACCTTGATGACACGGGTTCACTCTCCAGGATCCAAATGATAGAACAGAACTGATTACCACAAATTGTTTCTTGACTACTACATGTGTGCGTGCGTGCACACATGCGCACACACACAAGGCGCATAGACACACACTCTAAATATTTTAAAAGTTCAAATAGTAGAAAAGCTGACCAGGAGTGTGGTGGCTCAACAGAGGGACATGCGCTCCTTCAAAGTTGGCTCAGCACAGACACTTCTCCTTTGTGTGACAGCAAAGCTCAGCCTTGCAGGACGGCTTTCCAATCCACCTCCAACCCTGGCCAAGCTTTCTAATATAAAAACAACTTCACCATCCTCCTCCTCTTTATCTTCCTCTTCCTCTCTTCTCCCTCCTCCCCTTTCCTCCCCTTTTTCTTCCAATTTCTCATTTAGTCAGAGACTCACCGTGTAGCTTTGGGTATGTCAACCAAACTGGGCTTGTACTCATGGAGACCTGTGAGCATCTGCCTACCAAAGTGCTGGAACTGAAAGTCATTGCTACCACATCTAGCAAAAGATCTTTCTTAAAAAGCTGTTTTTTTTTTTTTTTGTTTTTGTTTTTGGAGAAGGAGGTCTCCTTTTGTAGCCTAGGCTGTCCTGGAATTCACTCTATAGCCTATACTAGACTTTACCTTAGTGGTCCTCCTGCCTCAGCAAACTGGAATTTGAGATGTAGGCCTGGCTTCTCCAGGGATTCTTGGGGCCCAAGTTAAGAACCTAGGGATGTGATTAGCTCAGCTACAAAGTGTCAGCACAGACCCCATGTCCAGAGTTCTACTGGCCCAAACTTTAGGACCTACCGTGTAGTTTCGAGTGGAGGAGACGTCAGTGCCATCTTGCAGATAATGGGTCTCCATGAAGCCATTGGCAATGAGTCCCCTGTGGAAACAGAATGGACACGGAAAGATGAGTGTGGTACTGCTTGAGCTACACCACTATGAGCATCTCAGGGCTGGGAAGGAAACAGCCCAGTACGGCTCCCAGTGGGCTCCACCTATTCAGGTTTCCAGGGAGACGCTGGAGGGGATCCAAGTAGGGGACAGTCTGCAACACATGTTTGAAGAGTTGCCCATGTGGGACCCATAGGGTCCCCTTCACACCTCTGATCCCATTCCTCTCAGGTACACAGCTTAGCATTCACCACGTACCTGGATGGACACCCTTCCCCCCGGACACATGCCCCATGCATCACACATACCATACCTTCTCCACACCATTACCCCCTCCCCCCACATACCACACTTTAAAACGGTTGTGCAGACATATTTCCAAGTTGAGAAAACCCACCCCCAGATGTCACGTTGCTCCACAAACTGGAATCAGTAGCAAAACCACTTCTGGGAAAACTGTTTTGGAGCCATAGTTTTCCTCACAGGGGAGAGAAGCTAGCTATCAATATAGAAATGTCACAGGGGAGGTTAAAGCAATGATTAAATGTTAAAAGTGATGTAGGTGCGAACTAAAAAAAATTTTTTTGACATACTGAAATCCTGAATTTCCAAGATAAGCTAAATTCAGGAAAGCCCCTTCCTTGTGTCCCAACTAAAACTACGACGGTCGCCAGGTCTTTACTGAGGCCAGAACACAGGCTAGCTGGCTTTAAACGATTTTGCGGCCTGAGATGGTGTGCCCTGTTTCACCCTGCTCAACGCAATGCAGGAAAGGTTTCCTGTATACCGACTATGTGCTGTTTTTAGCTGCTGGGTCACAGAGGTAATTCGACTAGTCTCAGCTCTTGAGGATGCTTCAGCCTGGGCGGGTGATAGCAAGGACTGTCTCAGAGTAGGAGAGCTGTATCCCGGTGAACCAGTGCGCAGTAGGCAGAGCATCAAGAAGGCTTTGTGGAGGGAACTGGACACCAATGTGTCATAACAGAGAGAGAAGGCGGCCGAAGCACATCAGAGTGGGTAGGGGCGGAGGCACTCCTAGGCTGGGGGTGGCCACGGCAGGCTACCTGAAGATCTGGGCTCGGGAAGCTAGTTTGTACAGCGTAAGAAAGGGCCCTAAACATAATCTTGATTTCATCTGTTGGGGCAACAGAGCCCAGAGTGGCTTCAAATTCTGAGTCGCAGCAGGTGCACTGGAGGGGATTGGTGGTGGGTGGGGGGCAAGAGGCAAACATGTGACCCAAGCCCAGCCAATCACAGATCTCCTTTGTAGGACGTGGGGCGGTGGAACTTCTGGAGATGAGGCTTTTCCTCACATTCTTAAGACTCGGGGTGTGGTGCAGAGTTGCCTCCAGCCTGGTGTCCACTTGGAGGGGATGCTGGAAGTAGACAAACCTGTCATCCCGCAGTGATGGGGGGAAGAGTGGAGATGTTCAGCGGCGTGGGTGCTGTAGCATCTCTGCTCTCCAGTAAGTCCCTCTTCGGTTTGAGCCGGTTCCGGCTGAGTTTGCAGCCAGCATCCGGATAAGTACCCCGATTTAGGGAGGCAGAATGCTAGGTATGTCATAGAGGAGAGGACTCGCTTTCCAAACTCATTGTCTTAAGGCTCTTCCAGCCAAGCTCAGAATGGAGGGCAATATCCCCGTTTTATTTCAATACATTCAAGAAACATGCATGCCTGTTTTAAGTCAGCTAGGCCATTGCAGTGGGTCTGAGCTGTGATGTGTTTTAGATGGGCAAACCAAAATATAAGTCACAGACAGTTGACAACCACACATGGACTTTCCTGAGCTCTGAGTTTTGTTCACCTCCAGAGTATTTTAATATTTTTAATTTAATATTAAAATTTAATTTAATATTTTTTAAAACACATTTCAGAGGACTTCCCTGGTAACAGTGGGGGTCACAATAGCCCACTCCCAAAGTTCTTTTCTCTTTTCTGCTGGACGTTTTAACTGTCTTTGAAATGTCTTTCAGGTCCGAGAGAATACAGCCACATTCACACCTGGAGCTCCAGAATGTTCTAAAGTGTCACTGCCTGCTTCTTCCTGTCATGGGTCTCTAAGCAGGCCCTGGGTGGGTGGCCTAGGCAGCTGTGGCCCCCTCATGACTCCACCCTGCTTTCTACATGGAGTAACATCTCCTCTGGTTCACACTTCCTCTGCCCAACACTCGTCCCTGGATGGCTCTAGAACATTCCACCAAGGGCTTTTGCATTTGCCACAGCCTGTGCCTGGAATGTCCTTTGCCTGGTTTGACATGCGGCTGACTTCTTTTCGTCCTTCTTAGTGTAAATGCTGCCTTCCCAGGGGGCCTCTCCTCTGATGTGGGATCTGAAGCAGCCCCTTCACCGTCACCCACTGTGGGAGCCCTTTGGTTTCCTGTATAGCATTTCTCTTCGGTTTATTTTATCTGTTTACACTTTGCCTTTCTTTGCTCTCAAGAATGTAAGCCATAGGGGACGTTCATTCACCGTTGTGTTCCTGATGGTGCAGCCCGCCCACATAGCACACGGCCTTCTCCTTCCCGAGCTAGTAAAGAATTTGCCGAGTACTTCCTTTTTAAAAATATTTTGAGATTATAACCTAATTATAACATTTCCTTTTCCTTCCCCCCAACCGTCCTATATACCCGTCCCACTCTCCGTCAAATTTATGGTCTCTGTTTTTCACTAATAGTTATTGCATGCATATATGTGTGTAAGTGTATGTGTGTATGTGTACACATATATTCCTAAATATAACATGTTAATTCCATATAATGCTACTTGCACGTATGTTTTCAGGGCTGGTTGTTTGGCCCTGGAGCACTATTTGGGGTGCTCTTCCGTGGGGAGGACCACCTCTCCTGCTCCCAGCTTTCCTCAGTCACCTACAGTTCCTTGCATAGGATTGAGGCCACATTTCTTTTTTCTCTCCCCCCTCCACTTTGGCGTGTTCATTGGTGCCATCCTTATTCCGTTCATGTTGGGCATTCATGTTGCTGAGACTTCATGGGTGTAGCATCTGACATTACCAGGAGACACAATCTCACAGCAAACTCCCTGGTCCTTTCTGAATCTTGCAGTCCTTCCGTCCCCTCTCCCACAAAGTTGCCTAAGCCTTAGGTCTGGGAGTGTTTTGTAGATGTATGCATTGGACTGGACCCCACAACTCTGCATTTTGGCTGGTTGTGGCTTTCTGTAGTGGTGTCTATTCGTTGAGCACTTTCTTTGAGCTGGGCATCTGTTTTGCCTGTGGCATCTCATTTAAACCTTTCTAGCAGCTAGCTGTAGGCGTGTCTGCTATTCATTTCTTTGTGTTCTGTCTCTTGAGAGCGGTCCAGCCTGGCTTTGAACTCCAGATCCTGGCACAGGCTCTAAGAGAACAGACACTGTGTCACCAAACTCAGTTCTAATTCTCGACACTGTTTTAAATCTCAATTTAAAAACAAAACAAACACAAACAAACAACTCCCAAGCCAGAGATACAGGGGAGTTCAGGTAGCCTGTGCAAAGTCACACCCAAGCTTGTACTTTAAAAAAGGTTATTTTTATTTTATGTGTATGCTTTTCTTGCATGTGTATATAGATATGATAGGATAGAAGGGTAGATTATTGAATCTACTCTGAACAGAAAAAGGAGGGATATAGAAATAGGATGGCTGCAAAGCCACAGGCAAGCGGCTTTTTTTTTGTGAATTTGTACCCCAAAAGTTGAGCATCAGATAGAGCGTGAATTCTAATTGATCTTAATATTAAAAACCCAGAGTCATATATAGGGGTTAAGGCTGAAAGATCAGGGACACAGAGCAGTCAGTCACTACTTTTTAACTCTACAGAATCCTCAGATCATAGGGGCAATTCTGTCCTGAGGAATCCTCAGCTCTGAGTTCCTCTCTCCACTCAGCCAAATCTCTTACTATTTTCACCTCCCTAGGGCTAGGATTAAAGGCGCATGATCCCAAATGCTGTAATCAAAGATATAAGCTAGGTTTCTATTTTAGACTGATTCAATCTTGTGTAGCCCAGGGTGGCCTTGAACTCACAGAGATTCGTCTGCCTCTGTCTCTTGAATGCTGGGATTAAAGGTGTGTGCTGCCACTGCCTGGCCTCTGTGGCTTGCTAGTGTGGCTAGTTCCGCACTCTGGTCTTCAGGCAAGCTTTATTTGTTAAAGCACCAACAAAAACATCATGACGTGTATGCCTGTGCACCACACGCGTGCCTGCAGATGTCAGAGGATGCCATCAGATTCCCTGGAAGCGGAGCGGTGAGTGGTTGTAAGGTAACGTCTGGGTGCTGGGAAGAGAACCCTGGCCTTCTGAAGAACAACAAATGCTCCTAACTGCTGAGCCCCACGGTTAGTGCTCTTGTGCCTTGTGGTGCCACCATCCTTCTAGGCTGGCCTGGTGCTATCTGCTAAGCCCATGAGACAGGTACTACGTAAACAGTGGAGAAATGTGCACTGAGTGGAACAAGGGATGAATAAATACACAGATGCAAGAGTCAACCTGAGGACAGCACAGCAGCTCCATCCCTTCATGCCAGGACAAGATCTCTCCCTTCCTCCTAGGTAGCTCACATCCCACCTCCCCTCCTCAGCACATTTGATGAAACCGAGCAGGTGCTAGATCGGCGTGTTCTAAGATGTCTATCTGCTTTAAACGTGGCCCGAAGTCAAAAGTCCCTGGAGAAAATGAAGAGGGGCAGATGGACAATGGTTGTATTAGAAATATGACAGCAACGATCTTGTGCTTTTACCCTAAGAGAAAAGCAAATTAGATGGCTCTCCATCAGCAAATGGGAGCAGAAGGTGGATGCATAATTTCATGAGAACATTCCTTTCCTCTGCTTATTAGATTAACTGACCTAACAAGCCATTCTCTCCCCCTCGACACCAGACAACGAAATGCATCTTAACTGTGCCAGAAGCTGACGTGGCTGATTCCCATTTTTGTTGCTGTTATTAGTGATACCTACGTAGCGCTCTTATTTAGCTGCTAACTATTGTGCT